ATATAATACATGTTTGAATTGTCTAAAAGTAGACACAAAAAAAGAAACCAAAAAGCTTCGCAGCAGCAGGATACGGTTGCGTTGTAAGCTAACCCCTGCAGGAAAAAAAACAAAAGGTCAAACATTTGGTGCTGTAATGAATGCAATCATTTAGCCACATCTGTGTACAGCCAGCTCAAGCACCATTTTAGAAAATTGTTTTGTCAGCTTTTATTTTGGTAAAATCAGTTTTAAAGATTATACTGTATGTCCAATTGGTGACTGTAAACCACGCTTTTGGAGTCTAAAGTTTGCATTTTGGTCAGTAATCAACACTTCAAACAGATTATTCTGATTCTAAGGTCACTAAAACAAGAAAAGAATAGTCTGAGCTTCGCTGGAATTTCACACAGTTTGTCTCTCGCCAGTAGTGTGTGCGTGCCGCTCATGTGCTGTGTCACAGAATGATCCGTCTCAGTGTCGAGTCATCGCCCTCTGTCGCTAAACACGTCATTACTTGTTCTTATCTAATGATCAAATATGTTCGGTGACAAGAAGAGATCAAGAAAGGCACGTTGCGGAGATATAAGTGCTCCGCAAAATGTGGAGCAAAAATTAGTAATGTTGAGCACAACTTGTCAGGTATAATGCTTTAATTCAGCTTTTCTTGTGCTTCACTGCTAAAGAAAATAGATAAAGTCATCATCTCAGGGGCACATCTATGGTTTAAGATGTATCTGTTACCTTGCTGCAAAAAATACAAAAATCAAGAGAGGAACATAAAAGACCTATTTTTTTAAAGCAACATTAGGGATCAAATAGACACGTTAAAAATCTGTGGATTTTACTTCAGTGTTTCGAACTGGTTAAGTGGATTTGGCTTTCTTTAGTTTTTTTAAGTAGTAAAAGAATAATTTGTGTCAACACTAATGTGCAGGTCTGGTCAAATCCAAGCCTCGTTCTGGTTACTCAGCGGCACCGTCAAGTTACTGGCATTTTAGAGAGAGCACTTGATGTTGTAGCAAATGGAGCTGCTACTTAATGTTTTTTACCCCCCCTTTAAAAAAAATAATAAAGAGTGGCAGGTCAAACTTTGAATTATACAGCCCACATTAGGGATAAACACGTTGTGTAATTTCCAGCTACTTTTAAAGCTTCTTTTTAATGTTCTTTGAAAAGTGTGGGTTCAATAAAAGGGAACTGTGTCCGAAAATGGCGTTTTCTGTCGGTTCACTTCGCCTAACATAAGTGACGCCACACGAGCGTGACTGCATTGTGGGTATTTGACATCATTTTTGTTGCCAGATTCGGAGGGGGTCAAACATTTACATGCTAATGTGTTTGTGGAGTGTAAGAGCAGTTGTGTCAGCCTTCCTTAGCGTCATCAAATCAGCTCATCACATGCTTTATGCTGTTGAATGCCTTTCTTGTGATGTTCACTGAATACCTCGTGTGTTCAATATTAGACTCCTTACTATTATTTTAGTGCTTGACGTTGCTCCGTGTAAGACGTCGTGTGGGTTAGTTTGTGGATTTACAAACGACAGTTTGAGCTCTTTTGCAGTATTTCATTGTGTCCCTTTTCTTTTCATTTTTTTTAGAAAAAAAATAGATCCCCTCTCATGGGAAGGGTGGGGTTTTGTTGTCCAGCAGCTCAGAAAACTGTTGAGGGGAAAAAAAGGAAAAAAATTGTTTTTTAAACCTTGATTTGTAATTTTGCAGTCATGTGATCCCAGGAGCGTCCATTCGTCTTGCTGTAAAAACTCTTCACACATCTGTTGCAGCACGTCTGTGGCAGATATTCTTGTTACTGAGGCTCCGGGTTCATTAAGGGAGTGGCAATATCGACAGGCAGTGTGTGGCATTAAGATTTTTTTTTTTGTCTTTGTCTTTTCTCTCTCTTCCCTCCCCTCCACCACCACCACCACCCTCCAAACACTGGAGCAGAGCAACACATGATTTGGGCAGAGAGGACTGACAGCCTCGCCTAGCACCAGGCCTCTGATCAGCCATCTCCACCAGCAAATTAAAGCTTGACCCGCATCACCAGCCTTCACAAGCATTTTCATAAAAAAGACAAGAAAAGAAAAAAAAAACGTCATCTAACTGTGAGTACTGGGCTCCTTTTTAAGTGAAAATTTTGTCATTAAGATTCGAACCTGTTAGTATGTTGCTTTTTTGTTGCAATTTCAGCTAAAATTCGGTTCGCTGAGTGAATCATTTTTGTAACTTTTATGTTATAATTTTTATTTTTTTTTCACATTTAGCCCCGTCTTTCAGATTGATTTCTCCTCAGAATACAATTTTGCTTCGTGGTTCTTCTCATTATTGCTTTTTTTTTTTGGATACCTGAATGTTTTATTCATTGTGTAAACAAAATATTTAAACGTATTATAAATTCTAATTTGCCAGTTTGCATTTTTTTTCAATTTCAAAAGGAGCCCTTTTGTTTATTTAGTACGTTTTTTTTGTTTTTTTTTTCGAAAAGAAATGCTTAATGTTCAACTGCTACACTTGGAAAAACAAAATATTTGAAAGGATTCAAATTAATTTTGCTGCAACTCCTTTTTGGTTGTCTCATTTGGATCACATTTTTTAAAAAAATAACTAACTTAGTATGAMAAAAGGGGGAAAAGAAAAGCATCATTCATTTTGCACCCTGATCGGTCAGGTCACATTTAGTGTAAAGATAGTTAGGAAGCGCCATCACAGTGAACACATGGCCGACAAAGGAGGCCTCGTGTCCTCTGATATCAGTGCGCCACCCGATGGCCGCTGCAGGAACGTAAAAGAGACGCCAAATGGAAGAAACTTGGAGTGGTTCGAATGAGAACCATTTTAATTTAATTTTACTGGCACAAAATGGAAGATTTTACCAGCAGTTTCAAAAAAATCCTGTGATTTCCTTTATATCTTGGATAAGGAATAAACACTCAAATTTGTATTATTGTTCAAATAACCTTTTAATGAAATACATAATGTTTGTTTAGAACATATATTTTAAAAGTGTTGCGTCAATATGCATTCACTTTTTTATAAACAGACTTCAATATTTAGTTGTAAGACATGTCTCCGCAAAAAAACGCTTTTTGATTAAGCATGACTGTGCAGAGGTAGTATTTATTGTTTTTATTTACTAAAATAATACAAAACAATAAATAAAATAATAGCAAATAACTGAAAGAATTAAAGGCGTGCTGTGTTCAGTTGGACAGAAGAATGTGTCTGTTGCAGGTTTTCAGTCAGGTGTGTTGCTCCTTGCCTGCAGGTGACATCAGTTGCAAGGGGATGACCGAGCGCATTCATAACATCAACCTCCACAACTTCAGCAATTCTGTACTCGAGACCCTCAATGAGCAGCGCAACCGTGGGCACTTCTGTGACGTGACTGTTCGTATCCATGGAAGTATGCTCCGAGCTCACCGGTGTGTGCTGGCCGCTGGAAGCCCCTTCTTTCAGGACAAGCTGCTCTTGGGCTACAGCGACATCGAGATCCCCTCGGTGGTCTCAGTGCAATCCATCCAGAAGCTGATTGACTTTATGTACAGTGGAATTCTGCGAGTGTCTCAATCGGAAGCTCTGCAGATCCTCACTGCTGCCAGCATCCTGCAGATTAAGACCGTCATCGATGAGTGCACACGCATCGTGTCCCAGAACGTGGGCCTGGCAGGCCCCGGGGGCTTCCCTGTTGTACCAGGAGACTCTGGTCAGGAAACGCCTCGYGGTACGCCAGAGTCTGGCACCTCCGGGCCCAGCAGTGATGCAGAGTCAGGCTATATGCAAGCAACATCACAGCAAAGTGTAGACCGTGCGTACACATCGCTCTACTCCTACTCTGGCCTGTCCCTGCAGAATGGAACCCGCGAACGCCCCCTTTACATCAACCCTTTGTCGGCAAATTACGATTCGGGCCCCCAGAAGAACCAGCAATCTCAAGATCCACCGTGGATGAACCGCATCCAGGAGCGATCTCAGCAGGTCGATCGCTTCATGTCCACCGCAGAGTCCACTCACTGCCGCAAGCAGCCCCGGCCGGTACGCATACAGACAGGAGGGATGCAAATCAAAGAGGAGGCCGAAGACGAGTACACCTGCTATGACGATATGGGGGACTGCCAGGACGACACTGACCACAACGAGGGGGTCGAGAGTGAGTCTAAGATCGAAAGTTTCGACTCAGGGGTGAGCTCCTCCATCAGTACAGAGCCAGACAGCATGGAGCAGCAGTCGTACCTGACGAGCTTCAGCCGCGAGGGGGGCGGGGACATGCACCAAGGCGAAGGAGCTCCAGTGCAGATAAAGGTCAACGACTCGTCCCCGGAGCAGATGCAAAAGGCGGAGGACGGAGACACATCCCACAGCACTAGTGACAGTAGCATGATGCAGCCCCTGCCAAACTCAGTCAAACTCAGTCCCATGTCGCAGTACATGCGTCAGATCGAATCACACACCAGCAACCTGAGGATGCCGCTCACCGTGACCAGCAACTCCCAAGTGATGGGCACTGCTGGAAGCACCTTCCTGCCCACACTCTTCCCCACACAGCCGGCGAGAGACCACAAGCCTTTCCTTTACCTTCCTGGCCAGCAGCAGCCCCAGTTTGTGGCAGTTCCGCCTCCTGCAATGCCATCATTCCAGAACCCCATGTCGGTACCGCAGGCGCCAGCTCAGCAACAGCAGGCTGCAGGAGGGATTGGTCCCGGGGAGAAGAAGCCCTACGAATGCACTCTCTGCAGTAAAACCTTTACTGCAAAACAGAACTACGTCAAACACATGTTTGTCCACACTGGTAAGTCCAACTTCCACTTTATACACGTTTACTGTTTTATAAATTATTATTATGTATTTAAATTAAATTCCCAGTTGGTAGCTGGATCTGTAGCTTGTGACATTATTATAAGAAATACTTTTACTCAGAGGATGTTGAAGTTTAGCCTGTAGGATGAAAAGACGTCCAGAAACACTGAATAAAACAGCAAAACACCCACTGATTTTATGCAGGTGTTTTCTGTAGGAGTGAGAAAAAATAATCTAAGGGAAGAGAAGTTTTCAAACAAATACTTAGTGGGCAAAATTAGTAGTTTATAAAGTAATTTTAATAACTATATGGGTTTATGTAGCTCTGAAACATATAGTGTTTATGATTGTTGCATGTATTTTTTTAACAGAGAGAAAAAAACATCCAAGTTAAACTTTTCAGTTCATTTACTTCTTAAATTTACTTTACGTCTGTGATTAGATCCGATTATGATTAGGTTTCACAGAAATGACAGGGAGGTTAGAGTTAAACTTAGTAGGAGTTTTTCTATTTCTTAAAATGACCTATTGTGGTTTACATGAACCTCAACTGAAAAATGAGTCTGTTCGTTTGTGAATTTTTAATATCTGCCAAATTTTGTTGAAGCTCCGTGTCACATTTTGTGAATATTTCACCACAGTCACATTGTTTCCATTCAGAATGTAAAAAAAGTACCTATTTAGCACATTATCTGTATTACAGCCTGATAAAATTGCTTTAAAATGACATCCATCCGGTTGCAGCTGACTAGCGTCCTTCTTATCATTTGTAACGACTTTACARTGCCAGTGGAGTTTTTAAGCAGCACATCATTTGACTGCGTGCTGCTTCCTTTTAGCACTGACAGCCTGATCAATCACGTACGAGGGAAAACATCATCACAAAATTAAATATCGTGTAATTAGATGATCCCATAAAACAAAAAAAAATAAATAACTACTGAAACAAATCGTATCATTTCCTGGCCAGAGCCACTTGTTTTGTGAAGRCAACGACGCAGTAGTGCACAGCAGAGTGAGAACTCACAGATCGATCTGTACACTAAAAACAGATTTGAATACCCCATAGCAAGCAGTGATTAAATATATTTGCTTATATTGTTAACAAAGTAATCTACACAAGGGGCTACTATAATTAAATACAAAATGGTCTGGTTGTTTTTGGGAGAATATTAACACAAGAATACCGCACAAATCCGTGTATGGTTCGTTCTTTTATTTTTTGTTTTWTGTTACAAAACAAAATCATGAAAAGAAAATAACCAGATTGTTTTATTTTTTGTTTTTGTTTTACCGTGTTTAAAACAGAATCGTAAAATTGAACTAATTAAGACAATCTGTTTGGTTCATTCTTTTGTTTTACCATTTCAAAATAAAATTGCTTGTTGACGTTTGTTTGTTTCCCCATTTTCAAAACTGAAGTGTAAAAGTGTAAAATCGAACTGAATAAAAATCCAGTGTTTGATTTTTGCTTTAGCTACCAAAATAAAATATACGGTTTCTGTTTTAATGTGTAGCGATACCGGAAATGATTGGGGTCGCCAAAGAAAGTTAGTTTGCAGTGGCTGGAAGACTGCTCAAAAAAACAAAAACTGATAATGGCAGTGGCTGCACTCATATTCAGTTCTGCATAACTTTGAATATTAAATTTTGTTTACAGTAGAATAGCTCTTATGATGACTCTTTCTGAAAAGGATGTTTTTAAGTGCTAAGGGAAAACATAATGCTCCAGGAGTTCAGGCCATGATGACTTCCGGTTCCTCCCTAAATACACAAATATTGCACTAATAAAATATAAAGMTTTACTTTGCTTTAACTATTAAAATAAAAAAAACAGTCTTTTTTGCAGTTTTTCTAATTTAGTTTTAAAACTAAAGACTACAAAAACACCCAATCATTTTTTCTGTTTTATTTTGAAAGGAAAAACCTTAGAACGAATCATAATCGAATTAGTACAAAAGCAGAATTATGTTTTTCAACTCAAAGTGACTCAGATGGCGAACACAGCGTTAGAGCCTCATGAGAGCATTCTGCACCATTTACAGGACGACCACACCAGTTGAATCCAGTATCTACTCACTGCTACATGCTGGAGTGTTGCTGCTCCTGAAACCCGACTGTATCCACAATACAATCGCAGGGAAAAGTAATACAGTAAATGCTAATTATCAACTAATTAACTAATTATATCATTCATTCAAAGCAGGAAACTCATCACACACTCACTCGCGCCTTCATTAGCCTGTAGATCTCAGCAAGACCTATGATTTTTTTTTCGTGATACTGAGTTTTTTTCTTCTGGTAGTATTTTTGGACCAGTTATTTTAGTAAAAAGGACATTTTATTGCCACAAAGRGCTAAAATAACACATTTATATTTAAGGTTGGCTTCAGAGTTCCAGGAAAATAGTAATATTGCATGTTTCATCTCAAGCGTTATCATTTTTCTCCTGTTAAGAATGTTTAGTTTAAAATAATTTTAGTCTGCATTAGACTGTGGCTTTAATGGCTTTAGATTTCTGATAGTTTTACTGAAGTTAAACTCCTGCAACAATGTCTGTGGGACACACGTTTTTGCTTTCTGTGCTTCAGAATAATTCAGAGCCTTGATTAAATTTCATCTTTCTAACTTGTTCTTTTTTATTATTATTTTTGTCTTTAACARACATACATGTGCTTCCTTTGAGAAAGGCTTGATTCACACACACCCGCATTAGGACCCAGAAGTCTTTAATTAATAATAACTGCAACACACAGATTTTGACATTTAAATGAAGGCCCTCATCATGTTGGCTGTTTACATGATGAACAGATTGTGCTAAATTACTTTTAGCGTAAAAAAAAGGGAAGAAATGGGAATAGAATGGGTTATGTTAAGATTTACACGCTTATCCCAGGAGTGATGTAAATATGGCACGTTTTTCCAAAACTGAGGCATAATTTCAGCTCAGTTATGACGCCTGCTGAAGCTTGTCGGGTTTATGTGTGGGACATTTGCACACATAGCAACAGATGTACATCACAACATGTTCGTACAGTTTGTGAGCGTTCAAATATGGCAAATACGTGTGAGGCTTTTTTAACCTAAAGATGCATTTTCTTCATGTTTGGAAATGGTTATCCTTATTTTTTTTAATTTGTTAATGCTTTGCTTTGTGTGTATCTTTTGTGTTTGTGTGTGTGTGTGTACTTCCAGGTGAGAAGCCTCATCAGTGTAGCATCTGCTGGCGCTCATTCTCCCTGAAGGATTATTTAATTAAACATATGGTGACACACACAGGGGTGCGGGCCTACCAGTGCAGCATCTGCAACAAGCGCTTCACCCAGAAGAGCTCCCTCAACGTCCACATGCGGCTGCACCGAGGTGAGAAGTCCTACGAGTGCTACATCTGCAAGAAGAAGTTCTCGCACAAGACCCTGCTGGAGAGGCACATGGCCCTGCACAGCACGGCCAGCGCCATCACGGGGCTGGCGGCGAGCGCCGGCGTCCCTGGYCCGGTCTCCATCCCCATGCCCATGGCCGTCCCCGAACCCGGCGCCGGAGTGGTGGCCCTCGCCATGCCAGTGAGCGGAGGCGCCGGAGTCGGGACCGGGGTCGGAACGGGAGTGGGCGTAGCTGCTGAAGCGAGCTGCCAAGAAGGGACCACCTACGTGTGCTCCGTCTGCCCTGCCAAGTTCGACCAAATGGAGCTCTTCAATGACCACATGCGTATGCACGTCTCCGATGGATAAGTACAAAAAGAAAAAAAAAACTTTTTTCATAAAGAATGACAAATACAATGGCACTAGATTTTCCTTTTCTTATTTTGAGGTATGAAGATTAATGAGTATAGACACTGGCACATTAAGTTTCCCCAAAAATGTTTTCTTTTTTTTTATTCTAAAAGAAAAAAAAAGATGGTGGCCTTAAGGCTTAGTAGTTTGATATTGATCTACTGGATGGATCCAAACTACRGGCCTCTAAATGTATGCTTTCCTAAAATACTGATTTATGTGTTGAACACTACCGAAAGGCCTACGAAAGAAACACATACACACAAACACACCTTTAGTCTAGAGAAGTCTGAATGACTATAAATGAGCAAATATGCTTGAGCGTTTGTGTATTTTGCATATGTTTGTTTACTTGTCTAAGTGTGTGCGTGTGTGTGTCTGTTTGTGTGTATACATTGCCGTGAAGCTTAAATCATGGCAGTTGTGAACCCATACTGACCAGTTTGGAAACTATAGATGTCCAAGCTTACTGTGGTATAATTTACAACGACAATAACAATAATTTAAAAAAAAGAAAAAGAAGAAAAAAATGCATCTGGGGTTGGGCTACRTATTCCCTCTAAAAAAAGTACTGATGGTCACAAGATTGCCTTCTTACATCAAACAAAAAAGGAGAGTACTTAATTTGACACTGGGTTTTATTTATTCCTGTGGTATTAAGGGATTATAATGCAGCTGTTGTCAAGGTACCAATTTGAATCATTTTACTGAACTGTAACTTCCTGTCCGAGGTGACGGGGAAATATGATTTCTCATATGTTTTGTGGTTATTGTCCATGCATTTTGGTGGTTTACTAAATTTTGGTGTGTTGAGGAGATAGTATTTGAGCAAAAATGTGTTTCCTTTTCGTGTTGGAGTTGAACGCATTTGCATACACTGCCTCTTAAAATCCTAAAAGACTGTTAAGGCTACAAGACCTCTTCCACTGCAAAAGATACGAACCAAAGGAAGAATCTTTTGCTGATGGGTTTTCTGTTTTTAGCCTTTTACACACACAGTTTTGGCAGGCTGAGATATGCGACTAAACTCCTTCATTATTGCTGCTCTTCAACTTGCACCCGACTGTTATGGGATATCGATTTAACAAAAGGATTTGTCTCTTCAACTATTATTGAGTAGCCTGTTTGGCTTTAGTTTCATAAATGATTTAGAATTTTGTAGAGAGGGGAGTAGGCTAGGTGTTGATTGGAACAATGTTGTATAAAAAAAAAAGTGGTAATTTAAATTGAATCCGATTTAAAGTGGAGTAATTGCCACCCTGATCCTGTGTAATCTGTTTCTTACAGCTGCAAAGCTATTTCAGCAGCTGGAAGCTGAATGCATTACTCTTCATGCATTTGGCTCTCCCCGAAGGCTTAAATCACATGCAACCTTTCGAAAGGAAATCCAGTCTGAAAGCAAAACAAGTAGCTCCATCAATCGATATCTCATTGTTTCATTAGAAACCACAAGCTGCAGATGGACTGTGATGACAATAGCAAACATTCCCGATTGTTCTAATACCAAGACACAGCATGTATATGGAATAGATATGGAGGCTTGTGTGTTCAAGTTGTCATTCATGCATCACTTCACCTATTATATGTCTGATTTCTAATGATTTCAATATTTTATATTGCTTTTTTTAGGAAAAAAATCCAAAATAGGTCTCACACACGAAAACACACACTCACATGCAACTGCCTGCAACTGCAATTTAAAGGATTTGCTTCTTTAAGTGAGCAAGCACTTTGGTAGTTGCACAAAAGTAAAACAAAAACAACAAAAAACTAACAGCATACAGGGGTCTTCAAAAGACCTGCTGTCAATTTAGAAAATAAAAGTGCTACTTTGCACATTTTCTTAAAATGCCTGTGCTTAATATTTAATCATTTTTTCTTAAATGAACTTTACTTTTATTCAACTTTAAATATTATTTTTTTTCCAATCTTGATAAGAGGACTGCATTTTTTTTCTTGCATATATGTTGCACTGCTTAAACCAATAAGTGCACTACTGTTAACAGAGATGTTATAGTTTTAGAAAAAAAAAAGATTTTTTTTATTTTAAATCTAGCATTTTGTTGTAGAGTTCACACCAATAGCATCGTCTCAACATCATCTTCATTAAGTAATTCTTGGCTTTTGTTATTGCTCGCTCCAGTATATTCTTGTGCCGTGTTAATGCAAGCTTTTATTTTATTTTTTTGTTTATTCAAACCTTTAGGTGTGCTCATCTATGTTGTAACCTTCAAAATATTTTATGGATTCTGTTCCCTATAGGAGTTTATTTAATCTTCTTTTTTGTTGATTACAGTACATAATTTTAATGAGAACATACAAGCCAAACATCATAAACAGTTAAACACCAATAATAATAGAAAAAAAAACCTTCAGTCTAACTTCATTGGTGGAGGTTCAATGAATAACTATTATTATAATATTAATAATACATATAAATGTGTGTAACATAAATGGTGTGTGTGTCCTAGAACAACTTTCTGTGAGTTTTAAAGTGTGAGTGCAGCTTTAGTACCTGTCACTTGTACACAGTTGTCCCCTTCCTTGGTGTTTGTATGTCTGTGAATGTCTGTGAGTGATTTATTAGCCTAATCAAATTATTGATAAGTGGAATATCTCAACTGTAGGGCTTCCTTTGCAATATGCAGCACAGGTACTATGGAAAACAGCTCTCCAGACCTTTTTGGGCTAATAAGGCACCTGTAACACGTTTTAGTTTTCCCTCTGAGACTCTAGTAAAGCTTAGGTTAAGTACTGTGAAATTCAGTTTGGGAGAAGCAGATTTTTTTTTATGCGATGCTGGATTTCAGAGTTGCGTGAATTCAGTTTTGAGATGAAGTCAACATGTGTGGCCCCTATGGAAAATTCTGTAAAGAAAAAGAAAGAAAGATGAGAGAGTTGGTCCTTGGTTTAAAAAAAAAAGAAGTTTGTAATTGAACATTTGATTGGGCCTGTCTTTATATGGGGTGCATAAAAAGCCTAAACTGTATTCGTAGCTGTTGTTGCCAGGACGGCAATATTGCTGCATGCTAGTGCTATATTTGTCTCTACACAGCACGTGGAGGGTAATCTCATGCCTTAACAGACAATGCACTAAACAGAATATGTAAGCAACTGCCGAGACCTTCTTTTCCAACAGTATATTGCCACTCGTACGGCACACAGCTCATGATGTCAGTGTTATATGGTCCATTCGAGTCGAGCACTGCCAAACTAACATCACTTTTTTTAAAGCAGCAAACAGCCGAGACAGTTAACCAAACTGTTTTCGTGTAATGAGTGTATTCTAACATTCCTTCATGGCAAAAATTTGACTTTTTTTGTGTGTGTGTGAACACGTATATCAAATGCACTATTGACTGTAGCTAGATGAGTACAACCAGCCTTTTGTGGTATCATTGGTCTAAGTAGTTGTAGCTTGGTGTCGGTTTTTTGAGACGTTTACTTTCATGGTTACGCTATCGATCGTTTCTCTTATCACGTTTTTTTTTTTTTGTTTGTTTGTTTCGGAATAACTAAAGTAGCCAATYTTCACGTGGTCTGGGTGAGGGCTAATAACTCGTCCCGTCGTTGGTTGACTTCTTGTATCATAGGGTGTTTGATAATAGCAGATGAGGCTTGGAAGGGGAAGAATTTTTATTTTTATTTTTTGCTCCGGTGTGTCATATGGATGCTCCACTATCCTCCCCACCCCCCTCCATCCTTCCCCCATTTAGCATCACGTGTTGTTCACTGTCCATAGTTATATATTCCTTAGATTGCTTAAGCTAATTGTGGTGGTGCTTTTATTCTTCTCTCAGTTACAAAAAAAATCGTAATAATTATATTAAACAAAAAGGTTAATTCAAAAGTTGTCACATTTTTCTCCAGAAAATCCAATTGTGCTTCTTCTAGTCGTAGGTCTAGACTTTTATGTTTTTTGCAAAAATGTGCGCATTTTTTCCAGAACAAAACATGTTGAAAAATAGATGATAGCCTGCAGCTGATTGTGTTGTGTTTTAAATATATTCCTGTTTATTCCTGTTAGTTTTGTTTATTTTAGCATAGTGAGAGAGAGAGAGAGAGAGAGACAGAGAGAGAGACAGAGAGAGAGAGACACAGA